CCTTCCAACTCCTAATATTCTGTAATTTTGTAATTCTGTGAAATGCAGTTTCAGACAGCTAGTCACATCCATTTTGAAACAGTTACATTCCCCTTCAAGCCCCCACATTGAGCAGCAGCTTTCCAGCTGCAGCAGCTGGCTTGTTTCCGTAACTCCCCCAAACTACACCAAAATGCAGTATGGGCATCTCAGGACTTGGCGCAGGGCTCCCCAGCTGCTCCTCCAGCAGCCCGAGGGTGCTTTCCTGTGCTGCTGGCTCCCCTGCCTCCTCCCTGCTTCCTCTTCATTTGGCCTTGAGACTCCGTTTTAAGTGTCTCGATCCAGAAGGTGTCGAAAGAGCCCGGAGCCTGGTATCCCGGCTCCTGAGGATCGAGGGCATCTTTGCTGAGCAGGACACATATGGCAGGAATGTTTCTCTTCACCATCAAGGCATCGAGGCCCGCCTCAGGCACAATGGGTTCCCAGATCTCTTCGATCTGTCTGAACAGCACTTTGGTGATCTGGTGCAGCTCTTTGAGCCTTCGTTTCATGATTTCCACACAGGTAATGGTCTTGCTGACGGCCTTGCCTGAGCCAGTGAAAAGTATCTGCCTCACTGAGTCCAGCTCCATCTTGCCAATGGCATAGCCCATCAGATTTCTGATTTTGCTCCCATCTTTCACTTTCATTTCTATAATGTCAGGGGGCAGGTTAGTGAAAGGAAGAGGACAAGGTTTCTCCACAATTTTGGTCTTCTTATAGTTCTCCATTCTGCAGTGCTGAGAAGGAAAACAGATTCATTAAGACAAACTCCCACTTTAATTGCTACACAAAGAAACTCTCATCACAATTAGCTACGTCTCCTTCAAATGGCACTCTAGCTATCAAAGTAGGGGATCATGAAAAGACATATCCAAAACATCAGCAAGAATGCCCTACTCATGCTGAGGAGTCACTGGTATCCTAGTCTTCCTCAGCACTTAACTACAACACAGACACTGCCACAAGGCAGCCTGGGCCCTGACAGGCAGGTGGTCAAAGGAAGGGCTGGTGCTATAGCAAGGTGAAGTAAAAAAATACTGGCAGCATCCCACAGAAAAGCAAAGAGGTGAGCTGATGTTCTTGGGAACTAAAGCCCGTGAGCTGCACCAGAACCTGCACACGATGAACAGAACCACAGCTCACCTGTGGCAGCTCAGGTGTGTTACAGAAACAGGCTCATGGGACTCAGAGCCCCAGGACTGGGCAAGCCAGGTGAAAGGCCAGGGACTGGATACCTGGTGAAACAGTAAGCCAGGAGACAAGTGGCCAGCGAGAAGCAGGACAACAGAAGGGCACAATGATGAAAAAGGGTTCTCCAAGGGAAAGTGAAAAACAGAAAGGCCCAGTTTCGAAGCTCCCCCTTCTGCAAAGGCAGGGTCCCTATACTGCCCTGCAGGGCACCTCCCTTTTTCTCCTGAGAAAATCTAAGGTGCCCCAAGCACACAGCGCTATGGCTCTGTTACCGGTAGGCTCGTAAGCCCTGTTTAACTCCTTGTACCCCATCCCCTACGGAAACAGGGCAGGTCAATGTCCCCACTCTGTACCTAGGCAGCAGGTCCCTCCCAGGAGGTCCCCGGCATGGCAGCATGCCGTCATCGGTGATGGGGGCCCAGCACACACCCCGCTCAGCCGGGAAAAAGCAGCGCCAGGCCTTGTGATAGGGCACAGCGACGAGGGCTGCCAGAGCATGGCAGGGAAGGCTAAGGTCCCTGC